TTATACATTTTAGTGATTCACAATCAAATTTCCCGTTTTTTTACAAAATAGAGTCTACAATCACAAGATTGAATGAAAACCTTAGTTTTGCCATAAGTTTACATTGTATTTCCATTCAATCTCTATTCTTTTATCACTTTATTTCATGATTTGTTTTTAGTGAATGTCTTTTATTGTCTTAAAGAGAGACTGTTGAGGTCGAAGAATCAAAGCAATAAATAACTTTTGAATTACAGAGGTTTCAGAATATCGGGAAATGTGAACAAATTGCCACAATATTGTCTAAAATCGAATGCGAATAAATTGCAAAATTCAATCTCAGGATGTCGAGCAATCTTGCACCATGACTTGATCAAAGTAAATTAATATTTATCCATTCTTTACGACTGTAAAACCTTATTCGATTGTTAATAATGAGATAATGGATCATAATCTAATAATTTCATTAGATCATCGATTAATCGATTGGTTAACAAAAAACAAGAAACCATCAAAAATAACAAGAATTCGTTGAGAATTCCCCGAAAATTCAGAGTGAAAAACAAAAACTTCACAAGATAGATTTTGTATGTTTACCAATCGATTAACTTTTTGTCTGATCGATAATTCTTTTACTTAAGCCAGTCGATTAAAATTTTAATCGATGTAATCGTACACCTCTAGTTACATATGTACACAATAAAGTCTACAAGCACAATTAACAATGCAAAACTAGTTTTTGCTTTCATCGCATATTACAATGTTGATCAATGAACTTCCAGATGATTGTTTGATGGCCGTTTTTGATTATTTGAATGACTTAGATGATTTAATAAACTGCTATAAAGGTAATTATCAATCATTTTTTTTGTATCATGAAAATCATATACACTAGAGTACCCGGTTAAAGCAATTTTTTTTCTAAGTCTCCATCTAGTGATAATGGGTTTCAGAAAGTGGCAGCGCTTAAGATTTATGTAATGCAAGGATTATAAAAACAATGTAAATTTTCATAAAATCATAGATGGCGACTGTGAAAATTGCTTTAAATGGGACACAAAAAAATTGCTTTAACCGGGTACTCTAGTGTACAGTTAAACCTGGCAAAGGTTGTATGAAATTTAGTAACGCCATCTTTGGGATTTAAGATTTTTCTCGCTTTTACTAATTATCTTAATAATTTAAAAGAGTTGAATGAAAAATATCGTTCAAGACGGCGAGATCGCACACTACCTTGCGAGTACAACTTTTGCGAGGTTTTACTTTATTTTCATTCAAATTTTCCATACCTTAAGCGATAATAACAATTTTTCAAGTCAACCTAGTCGAGGATTTGCTGTACAGTAAGGTACCAGATAATGAGAATACCAGATAATGAGAATCAATTTTTCAACGACCCCTCAATGGAAGAGTTAAATCAAATTTAAATTTCCTTTAAATTTCTTTGATTATTAATTAACTGAATCTAATTTTCATTCGCCAAATATCAATGAAGAAACTCGAGAACTAGCTGAAGTGATCGGAGAAAGGCTTGCATTAGTCAAAGTCTGACTTTTAGTTACCGAAGCCAGTGAAATCAAGCTAGCTAGATACGCACATGAGTAGCTTAAAGTCAGCCATAAGATTAGCTCAGCTAATTTAGCTGCTTAACCAGAGTTTGATCTTTAATTTAAATCGTTTTTGTGCGAAACAAAACGGCCTGTGACTTGATGTTTGCGCATAAATCATTATATTTCGATATTAGAAAGATAGCTTAGCTTTCAGTCAGTTATAAGCCAATTTTTACAGTTTTTAGCCAGACCAGTTTAGCTTCGGTATCTACTCTGAGTATTATCATAAAGTTTTATCTGAATAAAACATTTTTTGTCATCCTGTAATCATAACAACACTGTTGAGGCGCAGTGTTTGAATATTTTCACGGATTAAGTTTTATTGTGTTGGCTGTGTAGCAATTGAATAATGATTGAGCAAATCAACACTAAATTTTAGTCAATCAATAAAACTTTCATTTCAGCGTGCGTCAAATGGAGTCATTTAATTGTTGAGCGAACCAAAAAAGTTAAATGTTGATTGGTAAGATTCAAAATGTTTATTCTCATTGCGATCAATTGCTTAATCACAGAAATATTTTTTTTTCAGACTATCCTGGCTATTCATCTGATTGTGTTTATTAGCAAAAAAAGACTTTATTGATGTAACCTGTCTGAGCAAATTATTTCAAATTTAATAGTAAGTTTATATTATTAATCAAATACCTTTTCGGATTTTCCTGAATATTAATTTTTTTATTTATCTTATCCACTTAGATTGCTGATGTTTCCAATATATTTCATTGTAAAAGCAACTCAAAGATTGAAGATATCGTTTCATTTGTCAGAAATCATGGATCTTTGAAAGGGATAATCAATGCATCTAAAGAACGAATAGAAAAATATTGTGATAAACTCGAAATGCTATCATCCGGTCGCATTGAGCCAAGCATTCTACGAAATCATTGCTGCTTAAAACAATTTCACACTTTCAATTATTATCAACATTTCAAAAGAGATACTCATTATTTCCTGAATCTTGAAAGACTTCATATTTATATTAATGGTGATTGTATAAATATTTTCATGAGAAATGTTTCCTTATAAAAATCTATCGTCCATATCCAGGTGGTTACTACGCTGGTCCAGTATTGGAAAAGCTTAAAATACTTGAACTGTGTTTATTATACCCTCATGGTGTTTGTTATGCTTTCCAGTTAATGGATTCATGTCCAAATTTACAAAGTGCACATATTTTCACGCCTACTAATCGCTTTTTTGTTGATGAAACATTGAAACACGAATGTCTGCAAGATTTAGTTTTATCTTATGTAAGTATCAAAACCATCTGAAATGCCATTAATTTTTTCGGAATACAAATGATTCAATCTATTTCAGCTTAAAATGAATTAGGTTAATTCAACATGGAAGGGTCATTTATTAAAACAATGTAAACTAATTGATTTTATATCACCAGGGTGGTCCTTCCTGTCTGGACTGGAATGATTTAACACGATTGTTTATGAAATATCCGAATCTCAAACATCTTTCTTTGAGGAATGTGCGCTACATAAAAGATGAACATATCGAGCAATTGGTTCAAATTTTACCCAATTTAGTGCTACTTGATATTTAAGATTGTCCAGCAGTCACTCAAAGGGCTGCTGATTATGTTGAAGATTATTGTAAACGATATGGAAGATTAATCAAGTTTTACTTCGAAGGAAATTACCATGAAATAGGAACAGATTGGCCTCAGTTGTCCACTAAACGAGAAAAAATTAGTCGAGGCTTTGATTTCATTAAACATTGTTTTCACAAAAATTTTCATCACCTTCCATATTTCTTGATTCCTGAATATCATTGAAACCACATATTCAGATATTCAAACCAAGATATTTGTTGCTCTTTGGCTTCGGAAACCCATTCCAAGAGTTTGTATACAATCTCTATTTTTGAATCACTTTTTTTCATGATTTGTTTTTTAGTGAATAGCATTTATTGTCTAGACTCTAGAGAGATGCCGAGATAAATTGTTTAACATATTTCAGTTGATCATCAGAATGTTCAGAATGAAGATCAGAGTTCAGATCAGAATGATCATCAGTTAATATTGTTTCTACCTGTAATTCAAATAAATGTCAGTAATAGATTAAGATAATTAGTTTAATTTACCTTCTCTCCAGGTTCTGAAAAATTAGATAATCCCATAGATGGCGAGTGTGAAGATTGCCTAACAACTGCAGAGTGATCGGATACTACAAAGTTTCTGGTGTGAGAGCAAAGATTTATAGCTATATATACTCGTTGAGTGAGGGGCTTTTTCCCCTTCTTCGCGCAGAGACACTGTTTGGTTTTGTTTTATTCAGTGTTACTCTTTTAGGCAGATAAGGCTTCACCCCTTGCACCGAAAACGTTCCGATCTCTCTATACTTCTGTGTTATAAAACAAAATCACCAGATTCAAGGAAACACTGTAGTTTCGCCTTAAGTTTATTTACAATGTCGATTAATGAACTTCCAGATGATTGTTTGCTCACCATTTTTGATTATTTGAATAATTTCATTGATTTAGCAAACTGCGATAAAGGTAAGTACCAATCATGATTTTTTGTATCATAAAAATCATAAAATCCATTGATATTTTCCATACCTTCAGCGATAATCACAATTTGCTAAATTAATCTAGTCAAATATCTGATTTTCTAGCCGTATTGACCAAATACACTCTTATATAAGTCAACTAACTTCTGACCTTGTCAAGTAGTATTTTAAAAATATGAATCTGAATAGAAGCATCTTTTGGTATCTTATGATCATTACATCAATCCATTATCTGACTGCTGAAGCGTAGTTCTTTAATATTTTCAAAAATGTTTTGTAGATTGTTAGAATTATGAAACCAATTGATTTAATTAAGCAAATCAACTGAAATTTTAGTAATTCCATAACATTATTATTTATTCATGCAGTGTGTATCAAATGGAGTCATTTAATTGCTGAGCGAACCAAGAAAGTTAAATATTTGATGGGTGAGTTCCAAATTTATTTTGATACACTCTTCGTACTTATTATTGTGATCAATTTATGCATGTATTTTCAGAACTTTGCCCGGGCCATGATTGCCATTACTATCGAGCATTAAAAAATGTTGACGGAACTCATTTAAGCACATTATTTCCAGATTTAATGGTTGGTTGATATGATTATTTAATTTTGAGTCGATATTCATCTTGTCAACTTGAAAAATATAAAGTATTTCTTTACTATATTATTATATTAGATTTCTTATAATCTTGAGGAGAAAGAAAAACGCAAAGATAATTTTGCATTGGGCAGAAATCGAGAATCTTGGCAAGGATCATTCGACACATTTTAAGGACCAATAGAAAAATATCGTTTTCAACTCAAAATGGTATCCTTCGATTTATTTGGGCCAAGCATTCAACATGGTTCCAGGATAAAACAATTGTTCCAAGTGGCAAGGTTAGATCTATTCAAAAAAGACGCGCATTGTTTCCCAAATCTTGAAAGATTAAATATGCAAAACGTTGAATCTCACTGCTACGATGGTCCAGTATTGGAAAAGCTTAAAATAGCTGAATTTCGCCTCAGGAGTATATTTCGAAACGCAGTTTGTTATGATTTCCAGTTCATTGATTCATGTCCAAATTTACAAAGTGCACATATTACCGTGGAAACTAATCGCTTCTTTTTTGATGGAACATTAAAGCACGAAAGTTTGCAAGATTTTGTTTTAACTGCTGTAAGTATTATATTAACTCGATTTGAAATGTAATTGCTTTTTTGAAAAATATTTTTTAGTCCAAGTTTAGCCAAATTGAAATTGAAAAAGTTAGGTTACAAATTAGCAAGGATGATCTGTTCAAAATTCATTTATTTAAACTAATTGTTTTTACATTTTCAGCAACGTAATATTATGTCAATCGAATGGGATGAGTTAAACAGATTGCTTATGAAATATCCGAATCTCAAACATCTTGCGTTGTGGAGACAATCTACCATAAAAGATGAGCATATCGAGCAATTGGTTCACATGTTACCCAATTTAGTGCTACTTGATGTTCGTGGATGTCGTTGGGTCACTCAAAGAGCTGCTAAGTATATCCGAGTTATGCGAGCTATATGAACGATCAATCAAGTTTTACTTCAGAGGCAATTACCAAGAAATCGAATCAGATTGGCTCAGTTGTCCTCTGAAAAAGAAAGAATCAGTCGAGGTTTTGATTTCATGAAACATTGCTTTCTTAAAAAATTTCGAGACCTTTCCATGTTTCTTGATTCCTATTGATGATTGAAAACCACTTACTTTTAATGTATTTGTTATTTTAACCCTCGCAAGCCCATCTGAAGATCTTGAGATAAATCTGTTTTCTCCAATCTCTTTATTACATGGTTTGTTTTTCTTGTGAATAATATCTATTGTCTAAAGAGTTTTCTTTGGGGCCAAAGAATTTGAACTTTGGATAAGGTTGAAGACCAGTAGATAAACTTTAACTTCCACAGAGGTTTCAGAATATCGTGAAAGGTGAATAAATTGTCAAATCTTTTTTGAATCTTTTTTAAAATATTCTATTTATCCAAATTTATTCGACCAATTTACTATGATTATGCTCAAAAAAGCTAGGTACCGTCAGAATAGAAGAGTAATCTGTTCATTTATCGATATAAACTGTTTGATTGCATGTTCATAGTATTTTGGCGGAATCTACTGGAACGATTTAAAAGATCGCTCATGAAACACTGCTTTCGCAAAGATTTTTATGACCTTCCATATTTCTTAATTCCTATTGATTATTGAAAATCACTTACTTATGAATATATTTGTTATTTAACTCGAAGCCCAATCGAAGATTTTAAAGTATTATAGTTAATCACTTTATTTCGCGATCTGTTTTTCAGTAAATTATATTTATTGTCTAATTTAAAGAGATGTCTCCGATGTTCATGAACTTTGAATTTTCAATAACCAATAAACAAATGAAAATTTTTCATGTGAGGAAAAATTAAATTATTATTCGAATGATCAAGCCTTTGACATAATATTAACATAGGTCATAACAAAAATTGTTAATGCAACCTTGATTATCTAATTAATAACCTAATTTAACCCATGTGTTTTAAATTCAGTGTTTGTGTGAAAAACTGAAAGTTTACTCGAACAGGAGGAAGTGATTGTGATCAGCATCAACGAAGTGAAAAACAAAACTACCGCCGAAGCTGTTCATCCAATCAAATCAAGTATCATTTATCAGCGAATTGAATCTAAGGAGATAATTCCTGTGTAAAAATAGGCTTTACTAGGTACATAGTAGAGTCTACAAGCACAATAATCAATGCAAAACTAGTTTTTGCTATAAGTTTATTTACAATGTTGATAAATGAACTTCCAGATGATGGTTTGCATGCCATTTTGAATGACTTAGATGATTTAATACTGCTATGAAGGTAATTATCAATCATGTTTTTTTGTATCATAAAAATCATATACAGTTAAGCCTCGCAAACGTTGTATGAAATTTAGAAACGCCATCTTTGGGATTCAAGATTTTGCTCGCCTTTACAATTAGATTATGTTAATAATTTAAAAGAGTTGCATAAACATTATCGCTCACGGCGGCGAGATCGCACACTACCTTTTAGAGTACAAACTTTGCAATGTTTTACTGTATTTTCATTCAAATTCTCCATCTCTTCAGCGATAATCACAATTTTTCAAGTCAACATAGTCGACTGTTTGCTGTACTAGCTGAAGTGACCGGAGAAAGTCATATTAGTCAAATAGCTCCTGACTTTGAGTTACCGAAGCCAGTGAAAATCAAGCTAGCTAGATGCGCACAGGACTAGCTTAAAGTCAGCCCTAAGATTAGCTCAGCTAATTTAGCTGCTTAGCCAGAGTTTGGTCTTTAATTTAAATGATTTTTGTGCAAAACAAAACGGGATTTGACTTGTCGTTTGCGCATAAATCATTATTATATATTTCAATATTAGCAAGCTAGCTTAGCTTTCAGTCAGTTGTAAGCCAATTTTTACAGTTTTTAGCCGGACCAGGTTAGCTTCAGTATCTACTCTGAGTATTATTATATCATAAAGTTTTATCTGAATGAAACATTTTTTTGTTATCCTTTATGTTATCATCTGACTGTTGAGGCGCAGTATTTGAATATTTTATTGTGTTGGCTCTGTATCAATTGAATAATTGAGCAAATCAACACTAAATTTTAGTCAGCCAATAAAACTTTCATTTCAGTCTGTATCAAATGGAATCAATTAATTGCTGAGCGAACCAAAAAATTTAAATACTTTATTGGTAAGATTCAAAATGTTTATTCTCATTGCGATCAATTGCTTAATCACAGAAATATTTTTTTTTCAGACTATCCTGGCTATTCATCTGATTGTGTTTATTAGCAAAAAAAGACTTTATTGATGTAACCTGTCTGAGCAAATTATTTCAAATTTAATGGTAAGTTTATATTATTAATCAAATACCTTTTCGGATTTTTCTTGATTATTAATAATTTTCTTATTTATCCTTTCCACTTACTAGGTAAGGGACCCTCCTGGTACGATTTGATTTGGGAAATTTCATGATGAATCGATGGAAATAAGACAAAAAAGATGTTTGGTAAAGTGTTAGGACCTGTAAATTTTTGCTTCAATTTTTATTCCAATTCTAAGTCTGATTCAGACCTATTGTAATGAACTGAAAATCTGAAAAATTGCCATTCTCAAGTTGAGACTAACATTCATTTAGTTTGCCTTTTTGTGCAATGTCTTTGTTTCTGTCATTTTCAGTTCATTACAATAGGTTTGGTTACACTCGAAATTGGAATATTGAAGATTGAAGGTATCGTTTCATTTGTCAGAAATCAGTGATTTTTGCAAGGATTAATCAATTCATCTAACAAACGAACAGACAAATATTGTGATAAACTCAAAATGATATCCTCCGGTCGTATTGAGCCAAGCATTCCACGAAATCATTGCAGCTTAAAACAATTTCACACTTTCAATTATTATCAACATTTCAAAAGAGATACTTTTAAAAGAGAAATGTTTCCTTATGAAAATCTATCGTTCATACTCAGGTGGTTACTACGCTGGTCCAGTATTGGAAAAGCTTAAAATACTTGAACTGTGTTTATTATACCCTCATGGTGTTTGTTATGCTTTCCAGTTAATGGATTCATGCCCAAATTTACAAAGTGCACATATTTTCACGCCTACTAATCGCTTTTTTGTTGATGAAACATTGAAACATGAATGTTTGCAAGATTTAGTTATGTCTTATGTAAGTATCAAAACCATCTGAAATGTCATTGCTTTTTTCGGAATCCAAATGATTCAATCTATTTCAGCTTAAAATGAATTAGGTTATGTTAATTCAACATGGAAGGGTCATTTATTAAAACAATGTAAACTAATTGATTTTATATTTCCAGGGTGGTCCTTCCTGTCTGGACTGGAATGATTTAAAAAGATCTTTTATGAAATATCCGAACATCAAACATCTTTCGCTGAGGAACGTGCGCTACATAAAAGATGAACATAACGAGTAATTGGTTCAAATTTTAGCCAATGCAGTAATACAAATGTCAATATAAATTTAATGCTTTCAATCGCTAACTATTAGTACTCTCTCAAAGTTTGTCAAAAATCAAATGTATATCACCAATATCTACTGAGTTATTAAAGATTGAAAATTATTTCCATTTTTACTTTACATACGTTATTGCATATTCATGGCTGTCCTGGAGTCACTCAAAGGACTACTGGGCTACGATATGAAAGATCAGTTATGTTTACTTCAATAGAAATTGCGATAAAACCCAATCACATTGGCATCAGTTATCCACTAAACAAGAAAAAATTAGCCGAGGCTTTGATTTCATGTAAAATTGCTCTCGCAAAGATTTTCACCACCTTCCATGCTTCTTGTTGCCGATTGATTATTGAAAACACATACAGTAAAACCTCTCAAAAGTTGTGAGAAACTCATCATCAGAATATTGGGAAATGTGAGCGAAATCGCCACATTTTCAAATCTTTTCACGGTGTCTTAAAATCTTGTTCAAAAGGCTAATAAATTGCAAAGATCCATCTCAGGATGTCGAGCGATCTTGCACCACGACTTGATCAAACTACATTTATATTTATCCGTTTTTAGGACTGTGAAATCCTACTCGACTAGTAATTAGTAATTCATGTACTTTCAACTTTGAATAATCAAAACTGTCACAAATGAAACTTTTTCAGATCCTGAAGATCAGATGAATCCTAAAAATTATTTTAATATGCTGCTGACATCTACACATGAGAAATATATTGAGTTATCATGTAATCTTATTATCAATTAAGTGAGTAATCTAGTGAGTAAGTATCTGTAAGTATCTAAGTATCTGTCTCACTCTCAGCTTTCCGTCAAAATATTCAAGAAAAAACATTAGTTAAAAACAAATTTCCCATGAGTAACAGCCAAGACCAAATACCTGAACTTCCTGATCTTTATGATCCCATTTTCTGTAACATTTTGAAGTTTTTGGATAACCATGATTTGCCCCACTTCTCTGAAGGTAATTATGATACTTAATTTAATTTCAACTGTAACGCATGTAAAATTGAAATTGTATTACAAAGCTTCCGCAATAATCTCAATTTTTAAACCAGTTATTTGTGATTAGGTGTCGCCGGTTCATTAAAAGTTCTTGTCGACTTGTTTTAAATAGACTTGGCTACTAATTGTGATGCTGTGGTTTAACATGCTCTTTTGATTATCAAAACAAAAGGTGCTACTTTTGAAAGCTTTACTCCGAACTACTTTACTTTACTTTACTAAGAATTACTTTGAAGACACTTTTCATTCTTACATTGTTAGTTTTCCTTGCCGTCATCCAATATGATAACTTATATGGTTATGGTTTTTATCCCTTGCATTCCATAAAATTAGTTAGTTAAATTGATAGATTTTGCATTACATTGCATTGCAGATTTTTATTAATCAATACAGTGCAGTTCATAACTGTTAAGTTTTTGGAATCTCTTTTCGAAATGTGTCCTTTTGAAATTGTTTTCCCCATATTCTTAACGATTTAACAGTTTCGATATTTCCCTCCTATTGTTACAACCAGTGTTTGGTATACAGTCACCTACCAGAAACTGCATCAAGCTGGAAATAGCTTATTTACACCATTCGTCGAGCAGTATAATTCATAATTTTCAATCTTCCTTAATAGAACAAATTTACGCACAAATGTTGCTTTAAACTGATTTTGAGAGTTTTTTGATTGATATTTCACGAAAGAAAATTTAATTAAGCCTATTGATAATTAAAGAAATCGAATCAAAATTCGACGAAATTAGATAAAACAGTAGATGAAACTCCGCCTTGTTAGGGACCATTGAAAAATTATGTGCAGTTTCTGGTAGGTTCATTTTTGGTAGGGGACTGTATTCATTTCACTGTCTTCTTTCTGCGATTCTCTCCATCAAAAGTCACATCTAATATATCCAAAGTAATGTGTTCATTTAGTTTCATTAAGTAACCATTAATTGTCAGTACAAGTAATTGTAACAGAATGTTTCCATACTACTGCAGATTATTCAACAGTCCCTCAACCTCTTTCTTTACATGAATTATCTGATTGAATTTTATGTTATGCTCGATGAATAGCTATTGCTGTGTAGATAAGCTATTTACTAACAATTAATGGTAACTTACTGTATTTCGATCAACGAAATTTTACGGTTCGCATCATTGCTTTTCCTCAACCAAGCTATGATTCATCTTAAACAGGATTAATATAATTCTTCGTTACTTATGTGTAGTCACTAGATGAAAACTTAAAAAAGCAGAGCAAAAATGTTTACTAACTTGTGAAAGTAATTGAAACAATCTAATAAATTTCAATAAAGTTTTGTTTTTTTGCAAAAAAGTTTTTCTAGAAAGCCTGATTGCTAAACATCTTCATCTGATTGCTCCCTTGATCGTATGAAATACTAACTTAATGATATTTGTTATTCTAGTGTGTCCCCATCGGAGTGATTTAATCGATTGTCGAGCTGAACAAGTTAGATTTTTGATTGGTAAGATTGTAATTTTTCATCAATACTTGTTCTCATTATGCTCAATTCCTTAAATTGAATGCTTTCTACTTGCAGCTTATCCGGATGATGCAGCGGATTATTTTCATTACCAAATAGAGAAACTGAACAATGGAGTCTATTTGCTTACATTTACAAATTTACTGGTAGGTTGATTTTATCGAATCTTATAAAATTATTGAATCATTCATTCACCTTTATTTCGTCAACGCAGATTGCTGATATTACTCCTAAATTGAATGCAAGAGTAAAACGTGAACATATTTTTGAATTGATCAACGCGAATGAACAAACTTTAAAAGGATTAATTTATAATTATCGAGACTATAAAGGAATAACACGGAATTGTAATCAACTCGAAATGATATCATCCAATGGTGTTGAACACCACGTAAAACAAAATGGTGAAAAGGTGAAACAATTGCGCCTTCGCTATTATACTTTAGGTAGTTTAACGAAAAAATTAATAAGTAAGGAACCCGTTAATGGAAAAAAGAAAAGAGTAAAAGACGTACATTATTTTCCGAATCTTGAAAGACTAAATATTTATAATAGAAAAGGTTATTACGAATACATTTTTATTAAAATATTTGATAATGAAAATATTGCTCTTTTTCAGATCATCACTATATAGAATATGGACTAAAATATGGACCAGAATTTACAAATCTCAAAATATTTGAATCAAAATTTTATGTTCGTAAATGCACCACAAACATTTATTACGGTTTCCATCTTATTATAAATTTTTGTCCAAATTTACAAAGTGCGCATATTGAAGTAGAAGCTGATAATTTGGAAACTTGTTCATCGGACACACCTAATCATGATTGTTTGCAAGATTTAGTAATAAATTTCGTAAGTATTAATTCGCTGTAAATGTAATTCATTGTGAAAAAAATTAATTGATTTAAATCTGCTCTACATATACAGTGTCATAAAAGTCGAATCAAGTGGGATGATATCAAACAACTGTTATTTAAATTCAAAAACCTCAAACATCTTGCATTGAGGGCACGCGAAAACTTATTAGATGATCATATCCTGGAATTGGCGACTAATTTACCAAATTTAGTGCTACTTGATGTTCGTGGATGCCCTAAGTTACTCAGGGAGCTGCTGATCGTGTTAAAGATCTTAATGAACAAGAGGGAAAATCAATCAAGTTTTACTTCAACGGAAATAGCAATGAAATCGAATCAGATTGGCCTCAGTTATCCACTAAAAAAGAAAAAATCAGTCGAGGTTTCGAATTCATGAAACATTGCTTTCTCAAAGATTTTAATGACCTTCCCCATTTCTTGGTTCCTATTGATTATTGTAAACCACATACAGTACAAGAACTCTCATAGGTTGTAAGAAACTCAACATCTAGCGGATTTGACGTTTAACCTGAGTTATGAGAAAGTTTCTTACAAATTAATTCTTGGTGCAATAGTGATCTATCTAGATGGCTGGACCGCTTACAACCTTTGGATGTACAAATTTTGATCGGTTTTACTTTATTTTTTATTTTTGATATGCTATATGATACTCAGGAAGCCTATTTAGGGATTTTGTATTCAATATCTTTTTCAATACTTCTTTACTCTTTGATCTTATTTGTATCACTTTATTTCTTTATTTTTTTCTATTAATAAAATTTTTTGTGCAATCTAAAGAGATGCCGTTGAGGCCAAAGAATCACAACTTCAGGTGAAATTAAGTGATGAGATGAATCATACAAATTATCTCAATATACTGGTGGCATCTACTAGAATTAAAAACTATATTAAACATTATAACAACTAATCAAATTTGGTACTATCACTATTCACTGTATATCACAGTTAAATGTTTTCCGTTTGTTTTTCATAGTAGAGTTTAAAATCAAAAGATTGAAGGAAAACCGTAGGTTTACCATAATTTCATTTGCAATGTTGATTAATGAGCTTCCAGATGATTGTTTGCTCACCATTTTTGCTTATATGATTTAATAAACTGCTATAAAGGTAAGTACCAATCATGTTTTCATAAAATCATCTAATTCATGAAATTTTTCTTGCCTTCAGTCGTGATTACAATCTTCATGTGAAGTGACCAGGGAACATCTTTTATGAGTCAACTAACCTAACCTCTGAGTGTTAATCATAATAATTCATTATAAAAGTTTCAGCTGAATAAGTTGTTATCCTGTGATCATAACAACACTCAATCGTTTGACTGTTGTGGCGCAATATTTAAATATTTTTACAGATTAAATTATGTTGCTTTATGAAAATTGAATAATGATTGAACAAAAACACTAAATTCAGTTATTAATTTAAAATTTAATTGCAGTGTGTATCAAATGGAGCCATTTAATTGCTGAGCGAACCAAAAAGGTTATAAGTTTGGTCGGTAAGATTCAGATTTTTCTTGTTGCTCATTCTCATTTCGATCAATTTCTTAATTGCAAAAATTTCTATTTTCAGATTATCCTGAGTATTCATCTGATTATGTTTATTATCAAGTACTAGGTTCAATTAACGGCACCTGTCTGACGTTATTTCCCAATTTAATAGTAGGTTAATATTATTGATCAAACTTCTTTTTAGATATTTCATTGAATATTAATTTTCTTATTTATCTCATCTACTCAGATTTTTCAAAATTCGGCTGAGGAATTCTTTTCAGATTCTAGACAGTATTTATGTAAATTCTATAGGAAAGTAAAAGATTCAAAAAATATGGTTTCATTTGTCAGAAATCATGAATCTTTGAAAGGAATAATCAATTTCCTTGATGTTTCAATAGAAAAATATTGTTATAAACTCGAAATGCTATCATCCGATCGTATTGAACCAGATATCCTACAAAATGGTTCGTGTATAAAGCAATTGCACACTTGGAATGATTATGAGGATCTCAAAAGAGTCGCACATCATTTCCCGAATCTTGAAAGACTACATATTTCTATTATTGGTATTCATTGCATAAATATTTCGTCTGAAACATTTGCCTATGAAAATCAATCTTTCATCTCCAGATAGTCAATACAAAGGTCCAGTACTTGAAAAGCTTAAAATACTTGAACTATTCTTAGAGTGTACTCGTGGCTCTACTTGATGTTCGTGAATGTCCTGAAGTCACTCGAAGGACTGCTAATTATGTTGAAAATCATTGCAAACGATATGGTAGATCAATCAAATTTTACTTCGAAGGAAATTACCATGAAATAGGAACTGATTGACCTCAGTTGTCCACCAAACAACAAAAAATTAGTCGAGGTTTTGATTTCATGAAAAATTGTTTTCTCAAAGAGCTTGATATTAGTCTCTGAACTTTAATCACTTTATTCGATGTTTTTTCAGTGAATAGCATTTACTGTCTTATCTAAAGAGATGCCGTTGTGGACAAAGAATCGATTTCAGAGGAAAATAAAGAAGCGATGGATAACTTTCAATTTATCAGTCTCTTCGAATGTAGCTTCAATTTCTGTAAACTCTTTTATATTATTTTTAAGCAAAACAAATTATCAATGATCAACTTCGTATGGCCAAATAAACCTGACAGAAATAAAAAATAATACATTACAATATACTATTGGTTAATGAAGCATTTGAGATGCAAGAAAATTTTTTTAGATCTGAGCTTTAATCAGTACATGATATCAACTATCCCTACATGAACTCAGAAGATCCATTAAAATTTAGAATCCATTTTAGAAACAGGCTTCAATAGGCATTTAAATTTTCCTCCAAGCTGATTGAATCTTAGTTTTCTGGTAAGTTGATGATGTTTTTAATTTAATAATAACTAGGACCTTACCTAAGAATATAAATCATCTCAATCTACTGCTGACATCTATGTTAACTAAAATTAAATTAACCTTTACTCTATAAGAACAAGATTCAAAACAAAACTAGTTTCGTCATAAGTTTATTTTACAATGTTGATTAATGAACTTCCAGAGGATTGTTTACTCACCATTTTTGATTATTTGAATAATTTGGATGATTTAATAAACTGCTATAAAGGTAAGCACCAATCATGTTTCATACTTTAACATAAAAATCATAATCCATTGAAATTTTCCTTACCTTCAGCGATAATACTATTTGCATCTAGTCAAATATTTGATATTTTAGCTTTATTGACCAAATGAACTCTTATATGAGTCAACTAGCTTCTGACTCTGACAAGTATTACTCGACTGAAAATTTACTAATCTAATAACATTTTTATTGCAGTGTCTATCAAATGGAGCTATTTCATTTCTAAGCGAACCAAGAAAGTTAAATATTTGTTGGGTAAGATTCAATTTTGTTTCAATACATTCTTAGTGCTTATTCTAATTGTGATCAATTTCTGATTGAATCTCTATATATTTTCAGAAGGTTACCCGGAGAATGGTGATTGTGTTTCTTATCGAGGAACCGAACCGATCGATGGAACTTGTCTAAGCACATTATTTCCGAATTTAAAAGTGAGTTGATATGATTAATTCAAATTCATTTTGATTGCTCATTTTGTATCTTTTTGTTATTCTTTTTATCCATCTTATCAACTTAGATTGCTGAAATTTCCGATAAATTTGCTAGAAAAGTAAAACGCGAAGATATTGTTGCATTGCTCAAAAATCAAAAATCCCTGAAAGGATTAACTGGTGGATATCATAAAACACCATCCGAATATTGCGATAACCTAGAAATGTTATCATTCGATTTATTCAAGTCAAGCATGCAACATAATGGTTCCAGTATAAAACAATTGTGCCAAGTTTATCATTTCGCTAGATTCCACAGATACGCACATTGTTTCCCAAATATTGAAAGAATTAACATGCAAAACGCTGAATCTCACCACTACGGGGTTCCTGTATTGGAAAAGGTTAAAATAGTTGAATTGTGCTTAGCTCCTTGGGATGGCGCAGACCTAGATTATTGCTCCAAGTTCATGGATTCATGTCCAAATTTACAAAGTGCATATCTTGTCACTGATCCTGTTCACTTGTTTGTTGATGAAACAATAAAACACGAATGTTTGCAAGATCTAGCTATAGAGTTTGTAAGTATCAATTCGATTTTAAATTTGCTTTTTGGAAATGAATATCCAAATTCATTCGACCTTTTTATAATTGAAAGCATCAAGGTTATGTTACTACATGAAAGGGTCATCTGTTCAAAATTTGTCAACATAAACTAATTGATATTATATTTACAGGATTTATTTAAAAAAACCGACTGGGATAATTTAAAAAGATTCCTAACGAAATATCCGAATCTCAAACATCTTAGATTCAAGAAAATATGGTACTTGAAAGATGAACATATCGAGCAATTGGTTTACATTTTACCCAATTTGGTTCTATTTGATGTTCGTGAATGTACTGAGGTGACGCAAAGGGCTGCTGATTATGTTAAAGACTATTGTAAAAGATATGGAAGATCAATCAAGTTTTACTTCAATGGGAATTCGCATGAAATTGCAACAGATTGGCCTCATTTATCCACTAAAAAAGAAAAAATCAGTCGAGGCTTTGATTTCATGAAACATTGCTTTCTTAAAGATTTTGCTGACCTTCCACATTTCTTGGTTCCTGTTGATTATTGAAAACCACATACTCAATAATATATTTGTCATTTTAACTCTAAGCCCAATCCAAGAGCTTGAAATTAGTCTTTAAACTTCCATCACTTTATTTCGCGATCTCTTATATCCAGTTTTTCAGTGAATTAAATCTATTTTAAGAGATGTCTTTGTTAATGAATACAAAGTATATTTGTTACTCTTTATCTCGAAGCCCCTTTCGACGAGTTTGTATTCAATCTCTATTTTTTTAACACTTTATGCCATTATTTGTTTTTAGTGAATAAAATGCATCGTCTAATCTAAAGAATTGCCGTTGAGGCGAAAGAATGAGCTTCAGATGAAATTAAGTGCGATGAGATGAATCCTACAAATTATCTCAATATACTGCTGACATCTATGTGAATTAAAATTAAATTATGCATTCTAATGATCAATCAAATCAGTGATTCAAATTTAAATCTTTTTCCATTTTATAACAGTACAGAATCTACAAGCACAAGATTCAAGACAGAACTAGTTTTTGCTATAATTAGATCTTACAATGTTGATTAATGAACTTCCAGATGATTGTTTACTCACCATTTTTGATTATTTGAGTTACTTGGATGATTTAGTAAACTGCTATAAAGGTAATTACCAATCATATTTTCTTTATTCTAATCTAAATCATTGAAATTTTCCTTATTGATAACTTCATTGATAACTTCAATTTTAAGTCGATCTAGTCAACTATTTGCTGTGCTAGCTGAAGTGGCCGAGTGAAATCTAATGAGTCAATAAGATTATGACTTCGAGTATAATGAAAGTTTTATCTGAATGAAACATTTTTTGTTATCCTGCGATCATAAAAACACTCAATCATCTGACTGTTGAAGCGCAGTATTTGAATATTTTTACAGATTAAGTTATGTTGGGTTGGTTCTGTAGCAATTGAATAATGATTGAGTAAAAACACTAAATCAATAATGCATTAGCTTTTTCATTTCAGTGTGTATCAAATGGAGCTATTTAATTGCTAAGCGAACTAAAAAAGTTAAATACTTGATGGGTAAGATTCAAAGTTTCACCAATTCTTATTCTCATTTCGATCAATTTATTAATTGCAAAAATTCCTATTTGCAGAATGTCCTATCTACGCATCTGATTATGTTTTTTATGAAGGACTAGATTTGATTGATGAGACCACTCTGAGCACATTATTTCCAAACATAATAGTAAGTTTATATTATTAATTAAATATCTTTATGGATATTTCATTGAATGTTAATTTTTTTTCTCTTAGGTTTTTGAGAATTCGAATGGAGATGATAAAACATTTTTTTCTAAATGCATGAAAGCAAACGATGCTGAAAAAGTTGGTTCATTTCTCAGAAATCATGAATCGTTGAAGGGAATAATCAATTTCCTTGATGTTCCAATAGAAAAATATTGTGATAAACTCGAAATGCTAAGCACCCATCATATTGAGCCAGATATCCTACAAAATGGTTCCAATATGAGACAATTGTACATTGGGAATGTTACTCTAGATGATTTCAAAAGAGTTGCTCATTATTTCCCGAATCTGGAAAAGCTACATATTAGAGATGAAGGTGATTATATAAATATTTTGAGTAATGTTTGCTGATGAAAATAAATCGTTCATCCACAGGTGTTCATCATCTCAACAAAGGGCCAGTTTTTGAAAAGCTCAAAATAGCTGAACTTGACTTGTCGTCTCCTGATGAGATTTGTTATGCTTTCCAATTCATGGATTCATGTCCAAATTTGCAAAGTGCACATATTTACACAAAAGGTCATCACTTTTTTGTTGATGGGAAACTCGAAACTCGAATGTTTGCAAGATTTAGTTTTATCTTATGTAAGTATTAATTTCATTTGAAAAAATATTTTCTGAATATCATAATTTATTCGATCAATTTATGATTATAATCAATAAAGTTAATCTACAATATGGAAAGGTTATCTGTCCAAAATTTGTCATATAAACTGTTTATTCATATTTACAGATTGGCCCTTCTCGAATCGACTGGAATGATTTAAAAAGATTGTTTATGAAGTATCCGAATCTTAAACATCTTAGGTTGGACAGACTGTGGATGTACGATGAACATATCGAGCAATTGGTTCACATTTTACCCGAATTAGTACTTTTGCATATTCATGATTCTCCTAGAGTCACTCAAAGGGCTGCTGATTATGTTGAAAATTATTGTAAACGGTATGGAAGATCAATCAAGTTTTACTTCAATGATGACGATGACTACAATCAAGTCGCATCAGAATGGCCTCAGTTGTCCACTGAAGATGAAGAGTTTAGTCTAGGCTTTGATTTCATGAAACATTGTTTTCTTAAATATTTCGATGCCCTTCCCTATTTCTTGATTCCTATTGATTATTGAGAACCCCACACTTATTAATTTATTTGTTATTTTTATACCTCGGAAGCCCATTGTTTTATCAATAAAACGTATTCGACCATCCTCAAATCGACTGGAATGATTTAGCAAGATTTTTTTATGAAATATCCGAATCTCAAACATACACGGAAATTACGTAGCAAAAAAGATGAACACATCGAGCAATTGGTTTACATTTTACCCGATTTGGTTCTATTTGATGTTCGTGAATGTAATGTGACGCAAAGGGCTGCTGATTATGTTAAAGACTATTGTATGGACGATCAATCAAGTTTTACTTTGATGAGAATTTCTATGAAATCGATTATGATTGGCCTCAGTTGTCCACTAAACAAAAAATAAATAAACATTGGGAAGTTCCCTGGTCAAAATTTTGAAATATTTTAGCGGTAGATTGAGATAATTTGTCAGCCTCGGTCGACACCAAATACTCAATTCAAAACAAACCCACCTCTCATCCTGCATCTTTCCTCTATCTATTTTCCTTTAAACACAAAATTAAAATGCTAAATTTATTTCATCAACGGGAATGTGCGAACTAAGCATCCCTTTTTTTACCAATGAACAAGCGAAAATAAACATTTGTAGTAAAGACACATTTTCATATGAAAAGTTAGGTTGAAGTTGAAACTTCGATCGCAAAGAGATTTTTTAATGAAAGTCATTTGCCTGATTTAACTTTTAAAGTCCACCAGAAAATACATTATTATAATTGATTAAAGAAAGGAGAAAAATTTCAAGCTTCGAATGGACTTCCAAAGTCAAAAATATATTATTAAGTATTAGTTATGTGATTTTCAGTATTCAACAGGAATCAAGAAATGTGGAAGATCCCAATAATCTTTAAGAAAACAATGTTTCATGAAATCAAAGCCTCGACTAATTTTTTCTTGTTTAGTGGACAACTGAGGCCAATCATACTCGATTTCATAGGAATTCTCATTGGAATAAAATTCGATTGATCGTCCATGTCTTTTACAATAATCTTGAACATAATAAGCAGCTCTTTCAGTGATTTCCTCACATATATCAGCCTGAAGCAGCACTAAATTGGGTAAAATGTGAAGTAATTGCTTTATGTGTTCATCATTTAGGTTACTTGCGTTCCTCAACCCAAGATGTTTGAGATTCGGATACTTCATAAGCAATCTTTTTAAATCATTCCAGTCGGTTCGGGGAGGATCAGCCTGTAATTATAAAAAAAATTAGTTTATATTGATAATTTTGAACAGATGACCTTTCCTTGTTGACACAACCTAACCCTGATTATTTTAATATAAGATATATCTGAATGGAATTTAATATTCACAAGGAAGACGTTTCATCTCAAATTGAATTAATACTCACAAAAACTATAACCAAATCTTGTAAACATTGGTGTTTGGTTGTTTCATCGACATAAAATCGATTAGCACCCAAGAAAATGTAGGCACTTTGTAAAATTGGACACGAATCCATGAAATGGAAACAATAACACATGTCTGTCACACGAGAAGATGAAAAATCCAGCTCAAAAATTTTAAGCTTTTCCAATACTGGACCATCGTAGTATCTGCATGGGGCTGAACAATAGATTTTCATTACAAACATTTTAGACCAAAATATTTATATAATTACCTTCATCCCTAATATGTAGTCTTTCAAGATTTGGCAAATAATGAGCATCTCTTTTGAAATCATCTAGAGAACAAAACTGAAGGTACAATTGTTTTATACTCGAAACCTTTTGTATAATGCTTGGATGTATATAAAAGG